TCGTCTCCGCGTCGAAACCTCCGCGAATCGAGGCTACGTCGATATCGAAAAGAGTTAGGGCGGTTGCTTTACCTGTGGTGAAGAGGACGATGGCCTTGAGGCAACTGTACTCCGCGGAGTCGACGTGCAGCGCCTTCAATTTTTCCACTTGTTCCTGAAAGATCCTGATGTGGTCCATGAAGGCGACGACGCGATCCGCCGCCATGGGGGAAGCGTGAAGACCGGCCGCGGCGAGCAGCGGCGCCACGTGCAGAGGCATCGAGCACTGACTCGCGTTTAGCACGAACAACTCGCTCCAAACTAGCCTGAGCAGGGCAACCTGGTCGGTGACTTGTAGGTCCGGGAAGAACGGGATGTTTCTGGCCCACTCGACCGCCGAGAACAGCAATCTCGCCGCGAGCTCGCAGATGTTGTCGATTCCCATGATGTTGTTCGGTTGCATGCACTGGCCGTATCGCGAGGTCGGATACGGTTCTGCCCTCAGCAGCAAACTTATGTACGAGGAGAGGTAAGAATGACCGTTCAAGTTGGCACACGCGACCGCGTCACCGTTCGTCAGGGCGAACTGTCCCGGCAAACCTGGTAGCGATGGCTGCGACGGTGGCACTCGACCCCTTTGTACGGCTGCAACAAACGAACCAATTACGTCAATCGTTCGATCCTCTTCTTCGTTTTCGCGCGAGCTTTCTCCGTCGCCGATTTTCCCCGTATCCCGTTACGATTTCGCGCGATCCAGCATCGCCGCTGTCGCTGGACGGACCCTGGTTGGAAAGTCGAAGGCGAGTAACGCGGCGCGAGCGCGTTCCTCTCTAGCAGCCTGCGAATATCGTGCAAAGATGAACGCGCGAGTCCAGATACGCGTAGCCAGGCGTAAACAAGGAAACGAAAAGGACGGAATCGGCGCGGCAGGAATTTCGATCGAAGCCTCGTTGGCCGTACTCGACTCTAGGCAAACAAGGTCCGTGGAATACCGTTCGCTGCGAAAGGCATCGAAAGAGATGAAAAGAGAGAATCGACGAGGAAAGGCAGACGGATGGGAGGAAGATCGTCTTGCACGGTACGTACCTAAGTACGCGTGACTGTCTCTTCGTCGTTTTCTCTGCTTTTCTCTCTTCCTTTGGTAAGTGCATACGCACGATCGCGCTCTCGCACGACTTCCCCTTCCCCCCGCTACCCCCCTTCCACCTAGCCCCTCTCTTCCTCCGCCTCTCTGCCCCTTTGCATCCTTTCTCGGATACCGCGTCTTTATTTTTCCTTCGGGACTGTTCGAGCAACGACACCCCGCTGTGCAACGCCTGAATTCCAACATCCGCCCCGCGGCTAACGAATACCGTCTCTCCTATCTTTTCCTCTTCAGCCGTTTCTCTCTTCTCCGGTTTCTCTCCTTTTCTCGCCACCCTGCTTCGCCGCCGACCAAAAAAACCTCAGGCTCGACCCTTTCGAGACATCGTTTACGAGTTCTAACAGCTCTGCCACTCGTACGGTACCGAATCACCGATTTCTACGATCGTTAAACCACCCGAAGGTTTCTTCCAGTTAGCGAAATGCCGGCTTAAATCGTTCCAGCGATTCGAACGAGCGAGACTCTGTTATTTCGTTTACCGATCCATCGCCGAGTGCACAGAGGGCTCGCGAGTTCAGCGTACAGTCCGCCGATGTTACGCCGACTCGATACCGTTAGCAGCCGGCCCGAACACGGATACTCGTTTCGTGGCTCGCTCGAGCGGAAAAGAATTTGCGGAAAATTCGCGGAGCGCGTCCAGCCGGTTAACCGGACGCCACGCCGGTTTTCGTTTATCGTCGGTACATCGAGAATCGACCGATCCTAATCTAGACGAGAAACAACGGTAAAACCGTTGGCGACCACGATAGGTGGGACGACAGTATTCTAAAATTGATCGGTACCGATACTACTAAGAGTATCAATCGGTATGGCAAAGAGATTGGAAAACTCTACGGATAAGGACGAGAGATTCGTAACTACGTGTGGCAAACGTCGAATTAAACGCAAAGATAACGCCTACGGACTTAACGTCGCTAACATTAAGTTAAGCATTGAGTTATACGTATACGAGCACGCGATTACTCCTCTTACGACTAAATCCGACAAACAGTCGTTCGCGGAGATCGGAAAATTCTTCGTATCGTGGCAACGGCTCGTAATTTCCCGCAGCTAGTCCATAGGTCGAGCGACCGCCGCGAACAGTCGCGAATGCTCGTTCGCGTTATCGAGAGCGTGGATTTTTTGTTGGAAAATCGAGGAGAGCGGCAGAAACCACGGCGTTTAGACGACGGAGCACGCGTTGGATCGAACGTGGAATGCGGAGCGCTCGCGTCGCATCGGTCTAACGATATCGATGCAACGTTCGTTATCGTCGTTGAGAATTTCGTTGGTTTCGTCACGGTTTGAAAGAGGAATCGACGCGAATTCGCGGGGAAAAAACGGCTCGGCAACGATTCGATAAAGCTATCGTAAACGGGANGCTATCGTAAACGGGACGGTCGGTGCTCGTCACGTAGCAAAGTCCACGTCGATCGGACGATCGTGGAACGTGTTGGCGTTTAAAAGCCGCGATCGCGGCTCGAGAGCTGGAAAAAATTGTCGGTCGCGCGTCCTCGCGTTGCGTCTCGCCTCGCGAGAGCCGGCGATCTCCACGAAATCGAAGAGGATGCGCGAGAACGAAACGCGAGAAGCGGAGACGACCGCGCGGCCATAGAGAAATCGTCGGACGTGGATTGATGATGCTGACGCGCGCGGTTCGACGGAGAACGGTCAGCGCTTAGGCCCGTGACGGCCGAACGAGGAACGGGCACGGGTAGGTTAGGAGAGCGAAATAGACGAGGATGGAGCGAAGAAGGCGAAGAAGGAAAGGGGCAAGGGGGGAAAGGAGGAGGATGCATCGGCTGGCTGGTTGAAAACGCGTACACGAGCACGCGCGTCCGTATTTCAGAAGAATATCCGTCTGCGTTGCGACGCGCAACGAGCGTCGAGCACCGAGCATCGTTCAAAATAATTATAAACATCGAGAAACGACGATCAATCTTCCGTACGCGTTCGATGATAAACGAATTACAAAAACGACGTACAGTTGAAAACGAAAGGCCGAGAGGGATGGAAGGATGAAAGCGCGCGAGAGGAAACGGATGGAATGACAGGGGTAAGGGTTCGGAGCTGGACGTGGATGCGAACGCGAGGGGAGCGGACCGCTTCGCAGAAAAAGGAGAGTAAGAGCACCCGCGGAGCGCGTGATTTAAAATGCTAATTCTTCTCGTTCGTAGCGACATGACAGCGCGTTGATTAAGACGATCGCGCGCACGGAACCGCGCGCAGAAAGGAATTTCATTACCTGCTATGACATACGGCTTAGAAATTTCACGCGATTCAACGATACGACCTATCCTTGGCGACTCGGACGAGCGGACCGCCGCATTTCCAACTTTCCATTCATACGCGCGTAGCTTCGTTCGCGATGCGTCGACGAATCGCCGTTCCGAGTAAACTAGCCGCGATTCGGAACCAAGTTCGTCGACGACGATCGCGGTAAAATCGCGTAAACGCGTGGAAACGTGGAAACGACGCGATCGCCCGTCCGATCGCTGGCGCGGTGACGGGAACGCTGGCGGTGACAGCCAGGATATCGACCTACATGAACGTCGCCGCGAGGTCATTGGGTCGCCGATTATATTTACTCGCCTATACACCGCTAAAATTCGAAACATTCCGCTGGCCTTTTCATCGCGCTCGTTGCTCTCAGCCGGACCACAATTTCTCTCGTGCACTCGTTTATCCGCCTTGGACACGGCTGCATGAAACTCGCACACGGAATCGACACGACCCGTCCTACGTTCCGACTCGATCGAGCGGAAGATCCATTAACGTTTGTAAGATAATTACTCCAAATAGAGATTATACGGACCGGTACTAATTCTCCGCGTGCAGCCTCCGACGATAAATAAACACCTACGTAAAAGCCTGCGGCGGTCCCGCAACCAAACGGCCTAATGATGGGAAGAGAGCTCCTTACCTCGGCTTCTTACCTACCTATTCGCCTGCCTACCTCTTTCTTTCCTGTTCCATCGCGCTCGCTCCCACTCTCGCTCCACCTTTCACCCGTTTTTCTCTTATTTTTTACGTTTTCACGCGATACCATTCGACGCGTCGTCTCGCCTGCTTGGCGATGACGCGATTTTCGCGAACGAGGTTGCACCGTCGGTTCTCTTCCTTGGAAAAGCGTTCACGATCGAACGGCGTGCAGGCGCTCACGAGGAAACGCGTGGAACGTGCCGAGCGAGAAGCGGAAGGCGGAAGAAAGAGGAAACGGAAGGGTCGAAAGGCGCAACATCCCGTGCAGTGATTTTTACGCGGCTAATAAGCGGGTGCTGGTCCCCGCGGGCAACAGTTCCGGCTCGAAGGTGGCAAGGCGAAGAGTAGGCGGCCGGTGAGAAGTGCCGCGAGTCGATGCTATTAAGATTTCCGTATCGTCGTCCCGTTACCGAGACCGGCCAACATACGGAGAGGTTACGCTCGCTGCTTGCTGCTCACCGCTCGCCTAACGTTCCATCGCATCGCCTCGTTCAATTTCGATCCTCCGCTTGTTCGCCGCTTCCTCTGTCTTTCCTCTTCGCGCACGCCACTGAACGCTATTCGCTCGCTCCAACGCGATGCCGCGCGAATCGCCGCTCTCCGATCTGCTCGAATCTCCAACTTGCTCGAAACCCTACCGATATTCCTCTGTTCGAGCGATCGTCTCTCCTTCACGAAGCGAACCGACGTTTTCGCGTTCCAAACTATCCCGTTAATAGCTACGATGGCCGCGTACTCTCCGTAGGAGGATAGGAACGCGTTGCCAAACAGGGCATCCGGGGAAGGACGAATTGCCGCTACAGAAAGGGAAAAAGGATCGAAGCCAGGCCGAGAGAAAGAAAAGAGGAAAAGGGACGAGGACGCGAAGAGAGAGAGAGAGAGAGAGAGAGAAAGAACGCAAAGGTAGGCAGGAAAGAGAGAGATCCGAAATACACCTGCGGTTCGAGACGGGCAGAGAACCAGTCGACGCGGAATAACTGGTATTAATACGTCACGTAATTACCGTGCGAGAGGTATAGAAGTGTGTGTATAGTCGACGTTGGCCCGGCAGGGCAACGGCAACCGACTAACCGAGGTGGGTTCGAGTTGGAGCAAGCACACGCGCTTATATTCGATGCTCTCGAGAGTCGTCTCTTAGATTCTCTCCCTCTCTTGGCGCTTCG